TGCCTTGATGAAATAAGACAAATGTTGAAAAAAAATAAAATATTAACATTAAAAATAAATCTGTAAAAAGAAAAGTCTATAGGAACACAAATATCTTTGAGGGTATTTTCCTGACACTTTCATAGTAAGTCTATAAATTTATAAAACTATCCAGAAAATATTTTTTAAAAATGTAGTAACCAGGCCAGCCAGATAGCTCAGAAGATCAAAGGGTCTGCTTTGGCAGATGCAGGGACCAGGGTTCGATCCCCAGCTTGCCGTGCTGGCCCCACCCCTGGGGCGCACTAAGACGGCAATGACACTGGATGTGGTGGTGTACACTTGTAATCCCAGCACTTGGGAGGCTAAAAATAGAAGGATCACTATGTGTCTGATCTATGTAGTGAGACCCTATAGACCCTGTTCTAAATATTTAACACAATAAATAAGTAAACAAATAAAAAATAAAAATGCAATAACCCAGTTGTTTAAGAATTCATAATCCAGGTTATTCAGAAAACTGAGGCAGGAGTGTCACAAGTTCAAGCTCAGCCTGGGAAATTTAGTGAAACTATATCTGAAAAAGGTTTGGGGGAGTAACTCAATAGTAAAGCGTCCCTAGGTTAAATCCCTAGTACCACTACTACTTACTTATTCATTCATGGATTTGCCCTGAGGGAATAATGAAGGATTCAAGATGTATGGTTTCTTTTTTAGCTTCAAAAGTGAATAATAAACTTAGTATCAAAATAAGACAGAAAAATGCCCTTACAATGTGCATCAGCAATTTCTTTCCTTTTTTTTTAAATGCAAAGCTACTTATTTTTCCATTCAAACTGAGAAACAGTCAAGGTCAGTACAAAAAGTTAGTTCTTTAACAACACCCTATTTTGGGACCAGCAAGACAGCTCAATGGCCTAAAGTGCCTGCCTGGGCAAGCTTAGGCAAGTACACAGGGACAGTGGTTTGATCCCTGGCACCACATGCTGCCCCAGTGCAGGTTGGGCTGAGCCGGCCACACAAAAACAATTCCTACTTTAGCACTAGGATAAGATCTAAGTTTCTGGTGCCCTGCTCTTTAGGCACACATAATATACACTGATGTATAATATAGTTCTAACTTTCCTAAAATGAGTAATTTTGTTAGTCATACAATTCTATAAACTAAGCATAACTATTTAACTATGCAAACAGCCATGCCTTTAATTATTAATTCAGTTAACTTCTAAAAACAAGAGCTGAACAAAGGCTAAAGAGAAAAAGAAGAATGTTTGTTCCCGGTGACGTGTACGACAGTATGTTTCAGTTTTGTGCTACTCTTGATAGTGGCTCTGTCTCCAGGGTCTACTTTCAGGATCCTGAAAGCACTCACAACTCTAGTGGCCTCTCCAAGGCCAGAAAATATTATCTCCAGTTTTAACTTTGACCCCACACAATTCTAGGAAGAAAGTGGCATCTGTAAAACATAAGCAAACAGGCAAGAAAAAAGATCAGAAGAAACAAGCAAACAGAGGACTTAGAGGGGTCAGGGAGATGGCTCAGTGGAATAAGTGCTTCTCTGGCAAGCACAAGGGCCTGAGTTCAATCCCCAGTTCCACCAAAAAAAAAAAAAAAAATAGAGGACTTAAAACCCAGAAAAACATCCACAGCTTCTACCATTACTGTGCAGAGGCAAGACCCTAGAGATCTACTGTCATCATGGGAAGAAGCAAACCCACCAAGTATGGACTCCAACTGTGTCACTCTATGAGAACAGATGAAATTTAACTTGAACCATCTACTAAAGGTTGCACAAGTACTTCAAGCAAACTGAGAGTCTATTCTGCAATGTACAACTCTGAAAATCTAACATATCCAAGCCATTTTTACCAGTCATTCCTATATTCTATACGTCAACTCTGACCCTGACTGTCACACTTTCTAAGCAGGATCAGTGCTACTTGATCTTCTTTAAGAAGGAAAACACTAAGACTGAAGACTAATCCGCACTCAGTCAAGAAGCCACATTCTTTAAAACATAGTACACCACCTCAGGAAGCATTTTTTAACTGGACTGCATGGCTGCTGAGGGAGCATCTAAACAGAAAAACACAGGGAGTATGGAGTCTAAAGTTTAGGCACTGGCAGTGACTGAAGAACACAGGCAAACCAGAAAGAAGGAACTATGGAGAAAGAGGAAGATGGAAGGGCTAAGTTTCTGACTTTCATCAGTGAATGGAGGCTTTCTCTGCCATCCTTGCTAATAATAACTTACTATTTAATTCAATGTTCAAATATCCTCACTTCCTAATATGGAAGAGCCCTAGGGTATGACAAAGTATTAATTCCTACAGGCCAGAGAGCAAGGTGACTGATAGTACACACACAGGGCTCATTTGGACTGAAGGAGCAGCTATGGAAACATCAGAAACCAATCTAGCCTACCAAAAAGGGCAGAACAAAAGAGAATAAAGGTGATACTGCCAACAATAAAATGGAATAGCCTATACCTACTGTAAACTAGGTATACATAGTGATTGCACTTAATACATAACAAAATTCCAAAGAAGTAGCTGAGCTAGATGTGATGGTGCATATTTAGGATCTCAGTTACCCAAAAGGCTGAGGCAGGAGCACTGAAAGTTCAAGGCCAGCCTAGGCATTTCAGTGAGATCCTGACTCAAAATAAAAAAGGAAATATAACTCAGTGGTAGAGTACCTTACTAGCATGTAAAAGGCCCTGGGTTCAATCTTTGGTAAAAAAGGAAAGAAAATTTTTTAAAAAGTAGAGCGACTTGCCTCAACACTAACATGGTGATATAATTCCTCATTTTTTCTCAGAGAATAAAAACAAATTAGGCTTTTAAATTCCTAGTCCAATAATATTTTGAAGAGAAGAAAAAAAAAAACCACCATGGTCAAAGGCAACATAAGTAAAAATATTTGTCTATGTTCCTCTTGTTAACAAATCCTATATAGCACAGTGACATAAGAACTGTTTTTCTGTGATGTTTGTTTGTTTATTTATTTATTTATTGTGGAACCGGGGATTGAATTTAGGGCCATATTCCCGCCCCCCCCCTTTTATTTTCCTGTGATGTTTAAAACAAACTCTTTTAGTATTCTTATAGTTAAAAAGCAACTCCATCAAGACCTACTTAACAAGTAAACACTTAAAATTTACAAGACAGACATAATGTGCTGAGCCTCAAAACCTTAGTCTTCAGTCTCCTTTGACTATTCTTGGAACTCTTATTTTAAAGCAGTCCATCAGCAACAGCCATTCTGCTGACTCAGAATACAGCTAGCAACAATTATTTTTCATTCTAACCACTGGCTTTATCCTAGTCCAGGTGTCGTTGGATTACAACTACAAGCCTCAGAGCTGCTCTCTCTGCTTTCACCCTTAACCCAGCAGCTGCACTGACCTATTCATAATAGCAGTCATACCATTTCACCCCTCTGCTCAAAATGCAGTTCCCCAACTTGCCTTGAATAGGCACTGACGTACTTAGCATGGTCTACCTAGGATGATCTACAACAGCCAGCAAGGCTCCCTTGCCCTAGAGACCTTATCAGCCTTATCCCACACCTAGTTTCCTCTGCTTAGACCACCGTATTGACCTTCTTGCCACTGTACCCACCTCAGCATTGCTCATCCTTCCATACTGGATACTGTTGCTCCCAGTTATCCTGGCTTGCACTACTTGTCCCTACAAAGCTTCTCCATTTCTCCCTCATGTGATTTACTTACACAACACATTATGATTCTTTCCTGGCTGCCTCCACTACTTTGCAAGCTTGTGACAGAAGTAAATTTTATCTGCTGTGTACATATAACATACTTATCACCTTAGCAAAAGGAGGTGTGTGGCCACATTCTACCCCCTCTTATCACCTCTAGGAACTGAGAAGAAGGCAAAAAGTTTTCTATTTTGCTTCCCAGGCCATAGCTACAGAGAAACAGATGTACTGAATGTCAGTGACAGGGTGAACTACCTTCATACTACTTTACTTCCATGACCTCATACAAGATAGGTTTGACAGACACAAACACGAAAAGCCCACTAAACATGATAAAACCTTCCTTTTTCAAGAATATGAGACTGGAGAAGAAAAATCAACATAAAATCTAAGAAAACCATGTGCATCCTACATTTTAAAAAAAATTAAATCACACAATTGTACTCTCTGATACTTCTATTAAAATTTTCACTGCAAATTTTAGTTAACAGCAAAATGAAGACAGTCTGAAATTAGATGAAAATCTGATCAAAATCAGTAAGCACAAAGGTCATCTGCAAACCTTTATATGTTGCATACCATTTTGTCCAATCTGGCTTACCTTCAGAAACCTGGCCTTAAATGAGAAGGTCTCTGGGAATGAACTAGTAGGAAAGGAACTGCTAGCCAGGTGTAGTATCCTGTACTCTAATCTCAGTACTCTGAAGGCAGAGGAAAGAGGACTAGGAGTTAGTTCTTGCCCAGCATGGGCAACTGACTGAGACCCTGTCTCAAAATGAACAAATGAAAGTTTGAAAAGGGCTGGAATGTAGGTCAGTGCAAAAGCCCCAGGGTACTCAATTAAAAAGAGAAAAGAAAAAATAAATTACTTTTATACTTTCATATATTAAATATATTTCATATTTATTTTTTATATGTTAAAACTGACTTTTATATCTTTCACATAGATTGCTATGGTTTTATTTGCCTTAATCTCAAATATAAAAGGAATACTTCTCGAAAAAACAATACCGAAAAATGTTTCTGTTAGCCAACAGAAAGAACGTAAAAGAAAAATATAGTTCACTGTATTACACACTTATACTTCTAAGTTTTTCTTCTTTTATCCTTCTCATATTTCCATCAATCAGGAGTTACATGGTGACTTTCAAATGTCAGGTCCTCTACTAAGTATATTACGTCCATTAAGATTATTTCTGTGACTTCATCTGTTTCCATTATAATTTTCACAAAAGTTAGTTGATTTATAGCTTCATAAAGATTAAAGAAATATTAGTTGTAATAAAGGATATAATCACCTTCTGAACACAAATAGATAATAGGTCCCACAATACAACAAACTGTCACAGGCGCAGTATTAGTATCGTTCACTTTCTTTGCAGAGTTTCCCAACAATTACTGTACCTCCCTTCCATTAATGCTTGAGGAAGTCTGGGGAGGCTGAGGAAGGCACCATAAATGGAAGACTGCAAAGGAGCCCCAGGTCTACCTGTGAGACAAAGAAAGAATTGTTTCACCAGCTTGAACCTGAGCTTTTGTTTCTATAAAACAGCGACAATGAAGATGCCAATAAAGATGTCTATCACAGAGTACTGTGTGTGGGTTTATAAAAGAGCACAATAGTAACACTAATGATGAGATCATTATGATAATGCCGAAAATAAGCTAGTGCTCCTTATGTACCAAACTTGATTCAAGTATTTTATAGCCTCTCCCTTACTTTACAGATGAAGAAAACTGACATACAAAAGAGGCTAGTCACAAGGTCACACAGTTTTTAGGCAGCAAATCTGGTATCAAACCCAGGCATTCTGGCTTTGCTGCTGTACTTTATGTCTATTTTATCACTTAATACCTCCAACAATGTAGATGGTGTTACAATCCACTTATGACATATGAACAAATGGAAAAACAGAGTAAATAGCATACCTAACACCACAACTAACTGGTCAGTAGCAAAGCTGGAATATCTATCAGATACCTGGACAACAGGCAGATCACATGGAACTACCACTTGCAACATCACCTACCTCCAGAATTTGCAAAGGCTTCCAGAAAATAATCAGGAAACAGGCCCCATTTGGCCTGCAAAAAATGAATGAACCATAGTGAGGACCAAAGAGGAACAAAGAAGAGAAACACAAATTGAGCTGTTCTCATTTCCTCTAGCACCTTAGTTCATACACCCAGAGCTCATGATATGGTCTTCTAGGCTTAGTAATCCTAATAGGAAACAATTCAGATAAACACCATGATAGATCACATGCTAGATAGGAAACTAGTATTTGCGCATGCATCAAAATCACAGGAAAATAAATATAACCATTCATCTCAGCCACACTGATATACACTGTATAAAACAGATGGGAAAATGCAACTACTACCAACAAAATATTATTTCTGTTTGCTGGATAAAAGAATAATTACCTTAAAAATATACCTTTGAAAAATGAAAGAATACTCTGAACATATTAACCTACACAGTATTAAACTAGAGTATTTCCATAAATCCTAATTACTAGTGACCATTTCTTATTTGTTTGCCATATAGGAGACTAGAATTAAATCCCAGATTTAGACATAGTTGTGAAGTTAATTTTTACCAATTTTTTAAAAAGCTCCTAAATTCAGTAAGATGGCTGCTGCAGCAGCTTTTCAAATATAGTTGTAGAGTTACAACCACATAAAACAGGACACAAAATTCACTGAGATTTCAACCAAACCACATATATTCGTAGAACAATGTTTTTCAGTCATAGTGGTATACACCTATTACCCCAGCACTTTGATAGACTAAAACAAAAGGATCAAAAGTTCAAGCCCAGTTTGGATAATTTAGACCCTCAAAAATAAAGAGACAGTGATATAACTCAGTGCAAAGGCCCTGGGGTTCAATCCTTAGTATTGGGAAAAACAAAAACAAAAACACAGCTCTTCCTGCCCCCCCCATACTAACAATAACTCAAATAATGAAAGACAATCAGAGTAGTTATTTAATGTTAACAATGCTCAAAACACATTTAGGACTTCAATTGTATTAAACATGCATGTACACACACATTTATGAATCCAATTTATTCAATTTGATTGGTCACCTTATTTAGCAAATAACAGGATCTGTGCCATTCCAAGTTAGGAAACAAAAGCAATGAAAACCACCAAAAGACTGGAAAACAGACTTTGTAGTCACACACACACTAGTAGAAATGTCTGACATACATGGTGCTGGGGTGACCCCTTGTGGTGTCCTCAGCTATGAGGAGTTTTTAAAAATCAACAATATACATACTAAGCTATCCCTTACTATGCTTGAAAAGGCAAGTCATTTCTAAAGTGTGAATCCACAATCGGCTTTCAAGAAACACCAGCACCATCCAGCCTGGGTCTCATCTAAGCCTTACTCTAGGCACACCCCAAGCACCAGGCACGTGACACAATTCCTCTTCTTCCAAACACAGCTACAGAATGGTTGGCTTTCTTTGTTATTTTCCCTTTTTTGTTTCTCTGTGTTTTCTTTCTTTTCTCTACGTTTCTGCTAGTATAAACAGATATCAGCTTAGTATAAACTACTTCAGTATAAACTACTAGTACAAACTACTTCAGCTTACTAAGAAATCTGTCCAACTTTATCTAAAATCTGTATCATTTAAGAATGTTACAATCAACCTCACATCCATTATGATGACTACTACTTAAAATAATACTTAAGTGTTCACAAGGATATAAAGAAATTGGTATTTCTGAGCATTACTGCTGGAAATACAAAATGCTACAATATGGAGGTTTCTTGAAACTTAAAATTACCATGTGTCCCATTAATCGCACTTCTGTGTATACATCAGAAAGAACAGAAAGGGGCTGGTGAGATGGCTCAGTGGTCTAAAGCACCTACTTAGAACAAGCTTAGCAAAGCAAAGGGACCACGGTTCAATCCCCCAGCACCACATGCCAGCCAGCCCGCCCCCTGGTGGGCTGAGCTGCCCCCACACACACACACATAAATAAAAAAAAAAAAGAAAGAAAGAACAGAAAACAGGACTGAAGAGGTATCTGCTTATCTGTGTTCATGATAGCCAAAAAAGCAGCAGCCAAAGTGTGATAACAAAAAAATAAAATGTGGTGTACACATACGATGGAGTATTACTCGGCTTTAGAAAGTAAATTCTAACATATGGCACAATACAGATGAACCTTGACTGATAACTGAAGTAAGCCAGTCACAAAAAGAAAGTATGGGGGAACAACCCGTTCAGGCCCCCCTCCTGTCCCTCTCTTGGACAGGAGCTTTCTTTCTCTCAATAAATATATTCTGCTCATTAAAAAAAAAAAAGAAAGAAAAAGAAAATATCATATAATTCATGTATATGAGGTATCTAACAAAGACAAACTCATAGGCACCAAAAGTAGAATGCTGGTTAGCACTAGATGGAAAGGGGGTGGGGGATGAAAATAATACTTTAATAGATGGGGAATTTCAGATTTTCTCATGAAAATTCTGAAATCTGTTCACAACAATATAAGGTACTTAACACTAGTAAATTGTACATTTAAAAATTAGCAAATTTTTAGTTTGTGCTTTTTCTGCTTTTTTATCACAATTTTTAAAACTTCACAAAATGTTAAAGCCATTTTATTCTTCATTTCTTTGCTAAAGTAATTTTTACATAAGTACATTTTATTTATATGTTACAACAAGCCTATAGGCATGATATCATGTCTAACTTCATAGATAAGGGGGAATTGAGGGTTAGGAGCAAGTCCAAAGAAAAGAGGCAGGGTAAAGACCACAACCAATCACTGATTTCACACTCAATGCTGGCTTACCACTGTGCCAGGGCCTCCACAGATGTGTGGTTTTTACTTGTTTTCTTGAGGCAGGAGAACTCCCTATGTAGTTCAGGTTGGTCTTGAGCTCACTCTGTGACCTAGGCTGGCTTCAAACTTAGAGTAATCCTCCTGCCTGAGCCTCCCAAACGCTAGGAATACAGGAGTATACTATCATGCCCAGCATGTGTGGTTTTTAAAACATTTAATCGTGGGCTGGGGAGATAGCTCAGTAGGATAAGCACTTGCCTTGCGAGCTCAAGGGCCTGAGTTCAATCCACGGTTCCGCCAAAAAAAAAAAAAAAAAAAAAAAAATTAATCCCCAAATAAAGTTTGGGATAATTACTACTATCACATTTCCAAGAAAGAGAAAACTTAGAAGCTTAGAAAGGTAAAGATCTCCAGTCATGGAGATAGCACAGTGGCTTTAAGCACCTGCCTGACAAGTGCAAGGTCCTGAGGCGTTTGATACTTGGGACCAAAAAAAAAAAAAAAAGATGATACAATCAAACTTTGTAAAAGCAAGAAAATCATGTGTCAAGCTCAAATCATGTCATCTTCCTAGCAATTTAAATTTGAAAAGCAGCTAAGTTCCAGTACTTCCTGAGTCCCAAGGGCAGCCACACATGAGATGTATGAACTTAAGTACTTCAAGCCTCTCCGTAACTTAGTTTTTTTCATTAGTTAAATAGTTAAAGCTGGCATCTATCTTTGAGGGAATGAGAATTAAGTGACACAACCAAGTGAATTTTCAGAGTACCTGCCCCAGACCTAATAAAGACTCCAGTCATGCAAAATGCACTGCTGTTTATATCCCTCTGTGCTTATACAACAGACTTAAGGTCATCAAACCCAGCACAACAGTCAGAGCTCCTAAAAAACTCACCACCCACCAGAAGAATAGTCCTTATGACAGCTTCTAAAAGATTGGTGTAATATATCTCCAACGAATCTCCTTTAAGGCTTAAGGCAGCTTGAGGCTTAAAAAGTTTATACAGGTTTATTTGCAGTACTGAGAATCTGGGAACAGCCTACAGGTTCAATAGGATGGGGAATGGATAAAACCTAGCACACTGAAACAAGCATTAAACAGTGATGTTTCCTAAAAATTTGTCCTTGGCATTGGAAAAATGCTCATTAATGAAAAAAAGCAACATGTAATAGGAAAAGAACAAGGCACTGACCAGTACAAAAATGCAAGGAGTTTTACAATAAGTGATTTCAAGAAAGGATAACAGAGTATGATATATATTGTAAAGTAAAAAGAAAACTACATTTACTATGGTAGATGTAGTTTTAGAAATAAAACTGCTTATCCTGGTGTACCAGTACTCCACTATAATCCCAGTTACTCAGGAGACTGTGGCAAGAAGATTGCAAATTTGAGGCTAACCTGTGCAATTTAGGTATCTCAGTGGCAGATCACTTGTCTAGCAAGTGTGAGATCCTAGGTTCATTCCCTAGTTACCCCCATCCCATTTAGTCATTTTAGCTCACACCTATAATTTCACTGTAGGTACTCTGGTGGCTGAAGCAGGAAGATCACTACTTGGAGGCTAGTATGGGCAACTGCAACTTAATGAGGCCCTGGTCTCAAAATGAAAAAAGGACTGG